ACTACTACTACTACTACTACTACTACTAATACTAGTACTACTACTACTACTACTACTACTACTACTACTACTACTACTACTACTACTACTACTACTACTACTACGACTACGACTACGACTACGACTACAACTACTACTACTACTACTACTACGACTACTACTACTACTACTACTACTACTACTACTACTACTGCTACTACTGTTGCAGTATATGCTCACGGTAATGATCATCATCAGAACGGTTGACTAATATCCGTGGCGTACCTCTCTACCGACCTCCATAACTGCCTCCTCTCTCATCAACCTGTGTTCATTATCCTTCCTCCTCCTCATCCCCTTCTTTGACTCCTCCGCAGCAGCCGCCTCTTCCTCTCTGTTAAGAAACTCAGCATCATCATCATCAGCATCATCAGCATCATCATTAAGATCGTCATCATCATAAACCTTCCTCGTTTTCATCATGAGTAGTGTCGGCATCGACGTCGTCTTCATATTATCATCGTCCTCGTCATCATGATGAGTGTGCACCTCCTCATCACCAGCAGCAGTTGCATCGGCGGCGGCGGAAGCAGCAACATCGGCATCAGCACCAGTAGCATCGCGTTCACCATCATCAACATCATCAGTGACCCAACGACACCAACAAAGTTAGCAACATCAACACGCGCGTCGTACGCCTCGCTATCCGTCGTCTCATCCACCGCCTCCTCACCCTGCTCCTCCTCCTACTCCTGCTCCTCATCCTCTCTCTCGGTTCCTTCTATAAATAAGACTCAGATTCCACGTCCTCCTCATCCTCCTCCTCGTCCTCCCTCCTCCTCCTCCTCCTCCTCCTCTTCATTTCTTCCTCATCCTCCTCCGGCTCATCCCACTCCAGCTGCTGCTCCGCCTGCTTCTCCTCGCCTTGCTCATCCTGCTCCTCCTCCTCCTCGGGTTAAGGCTGGGGAGCATGACTATAAAAAGAAACTGGACGACGTAAAAGCCGATGACGAGGAAGGCGGAAGGGGAAGGCTGGAGGAGGTGGACGACGACGCCGAGGACGGCGGCGACGACTAAATAGTACGAAGACGAGGAGGAGGAGGAGGAGGAGAAGGACGGGGAAAAGGAGGAGGACAAGGAGGGAAAGGAGGAGGAGCAGGAGCAGGAGGAGAACGACGTCAACGACGACGATGAGGCGCCCGCCAAGGGGCGCCAGAGCCCAGGGGCCTTGATTTCGCCACACTTATCGAACATGGTTTTGAGCGTCTCGTCCGTGACGTCGTCGGGCAGGCTGCCGACCCACACGGTACAGCAGCCGTCCGGTTTGCTGGGCCGGCGCAGGCAGAGGCCCGCGGGGACGCGGCGGGGTGAACTCAGGGAGGCAGAGGACTGCCGAGAAAAGAGGAGGGGAGGAGGAGGAGGAGGAGGAGGAGGAGGAGGAGGAGGAGAAGGAGGAGGGGGAGGAGCAGGAGGAGGAGGAGGAGGAGGAGGAGGAGGGAGAAGGGAGAAAAAGAGGCAGGGAGGGAGGGAAGGGGAGGGATGGAGGGAGGGAGGGGGAGGAGAAGGGGGAGGAGGAAAAGGAGGAGGAGGAGAGGCGACAGAAGAACGCTGCAGCACATTGGCTCGAGTTCGCGCAACATCAAAAAAGAGGCGGCAGGACAGAAATAGGCGAAAAGGGCAGGGTAGGGGGCGGCAGGGGCGGGAGGGTGGAGTGGCGGGAGCAGGAGGCGGAAGGAGAGGCAGAGGGGAGAAGAATGGAAGGGCAGGGGAAGGAGCAGGGGAGAGGGGGACGGAAAACGGAACGGGGGTGTGCAGAAGGGCGAGGGGTGGGAAGGAGGGGGCCGATTTCGCATCGTCTGGAGCTGCGAGTTTGGACATGAAGGCCCCCCTCCCCCTCCTCCTCCCCCTCTCCGCCTCCTTTTCCCCCTCTTCCTCCTACTGCCCAGGTGGGGAGGAGCGAGGCGGCGCCATCACATGCGCAAAGACTATGCCACCCCACTGGATCACTCTCGTGAGCACAACCAGAGGAGCCAGGAGGGGGGGGGGCGGGAGGAAGAGGAGGAGGAGGAGGACCCGAGACTCAAATGACTGCTGAAACCACGAGGAGCCACAAAATAACATGTGGAAAACGCGGTTACGCAAGGGCCGCGTGAGTGTCACCGCTAAGGGGTCTCCCGGCATGCGGGTGGCACGTGGCCTGTAGGTTTCTCAGGGCCGTAGACCGAAGTCGACTAGCCCCCCCAGGTCACAAGGCTCTTACGTACATCGGTCCAGTAACTCAGGGGACTGACGGGTGGAGGCTGACCCTCACAATGCAGACAGAAAAGAGAGGATCCCTCCGTGACCGTATGGCAGCATCGGATAAGCTCGAAGGGCGCAGCCGGCATACTACACACTGTCCGAGGCCACGCTTGACACAGCAGGCCTGCCTACTCACGTTGGCGCTACCAAAGGCAATAGGCGGCGGTGGCTGCATCAGAACCCTCTCCCGAAGATCGTTGCCAGGCGACCCCGCGTCGCGGGCAGTCCGCGCAGAATCCCGACCTTACGGCCAGGCGGCCAGAAGGAATCGAGGGTCTCGCGTCGGCGGACGGCACGCCCGCAAAACCCCCAGGAGCCGCCACCGCAGGCGCCGCGCACGGCACCCTCGGCTTGGAGCCACCGCTCCCTCTGGGAGCGCGGTTGCTCGCAAGCTCCCACCCCTGGTGGCCAACAGCGGCTCCCAGGACGGCCTCCTCCTCCTCCTCCTCCTCCTCCTCCTCCTCCTCCTCCTCCTCCTCCTCCTCGGCGGCTCGCCATCCAGATGGCCTCCTCGCGGGCCGTCTGCGGAAGCGCCGCCGAGACAGAGGAGGTGGAGGAGCGTACGGGGAGGCGAGCCCAGACTCGAGCCATCAGCTTGTGCGGGGCCGTGGGCTCGCACCCTGTACGATCGACACGCCGCTACGCCGCCTCAGAGTTTCGAAGCGCCGCCATCGCCGTCGGTCGTCGGTCGTCGGTCGTCCGTCGTCCGTCGTCGGTCGTCGGTCGGTCGGTCGGTCGGTCGGTCGGTCGTTCGGTCGACGTCGTCGTCGTCGTCGAGGCCAAGCATGCGGCGCATTGCCAGCTCGGCGCACGTCGACCCAGCTGGTGGGGCTGCTCGACCAGTTGCAAGGGTGCCGCGGGGGCTGGCGGTCTCATCCTTTCCGTCACCATCTCGTGGATGTAGCCTATGGTTGAGCCCACCACCGCCGTGAACCACGCTAAAAACTTGGCCTCCTCCGTTTCATTCAAGATCCGGATTTTGAGCAGGTCGAGCAATGTCATTGGCAGCACGGGACGTTGGGCTCCGACCTTGGCGAAGAGGGCAGTCCATGCGCCGCCGTAGAAGACATTGACGTCGTGCTGCCCTGCACTCTGCAGGCAGGAAGAGGTCGGCGTCCTTGCGAGCAAGACACCAGATGACTCCAGGGCGAGACCCCTCGGTCAGGTCGAACACGTTCTGCCGAATATCAGCACACTGGCCAGGTGAGCGCGACGTCATGGGAGGCGTAGGACATGAGCCGCAGCAATTGCAAGAGCGCCCATCTCTCAGCGCGCCCGACCGCCTGTCGCCGGGCTAAAAGGGCCCCGAAAGCAGCTCGGATCGGCACGTCATTCGCGTCAGCTGCACGATGGCCCAGCAGCATCGGCAGAGCTCAGGCCAGCCCATGTCGTAGCCAGGCCAGGCGAGGATGAAGAGCAGGAGGAGGAGGCGGAGGCGGAGGAGGAGGAGGAGCAGGGAGATAGACTTGAGGCTCAGACCGACCAGTATTGGGGGTGCCCCTTTCCTGTCGGGGTGCGGTGGTCTGGGGGCGTAGCCCCAGGGCCCAGGGGGGAGGGGTCCCGAGTAGGGCTGCTGATTGCGAGTCTGTCCAGGAACCAATGCAGTGATGATGAAAATTGCCAACTTCCCATCGAGGGAAGGGGAAACGAGGGGGCTCCCCCTCGTTTTCTCCTTCCGTCTCGGTTCCTTCTTTCGCCGCCTTTCCTCCTTCTCGTCCATGGCCTGTGCTGGTTGGCCGAGTTTGGACCGTTGGGCTCGTAGCCGCCGCTCCTGCCCGCCCCCCCCCCCCCCCCGGGCCTTCGGCCTCCTGCCCGACGGGCGGCAAGCGGCGGGTGGGGGCGGTGGACCACGCTCGCCGAGGAGATTCTGATCGTGCTGGGAGGAGGAGGAGCAGGAGGAGGAGACGGAAGATGAGGGAGAGGAGGAGACGGAAGAGGAGGGAGGAGGAGGACGAGGTTGGGGAGGAGGACGAGGTTGGGGAGGAGGAGGAGGAGGAGGAGGAGGAGGACGACGATGAGGAGGAGGGGAAGGAGGGCATCCGAAAGCTTCTGGGGGGATCGGTTGAGGCTGGAAGGGGTGTCCAGGATCTTCTGGGGAGGGGGGTCTGGGACTCAGCAGCTCTGGGCCTCCTGACTGCCCTCTCTCATTTCTCCATCCCTTTGCCCTGCTCATCCTTCATTCCACTCCCTCCCGCCTCTCTCCATCTCCCCGTTCCCCCCTGCCGCGATTCGTCATCCTCCCGTGCCCGACGCCCTCCCTCGCCAACTGAGCTTTTCGCGAAGAATATGTTTTTGCGCCTCCTGTCCCCGCCACATCTTGGCGGCGCGCACAAGGGGGTGGAGGGAGGGGGGAGGGCTTCTTAGAAGGAGGCTGCTTCTTAAAAGGCGCCGGCCTTACATCTATAGGTAAGGCCTGCGCCTTCTAAGAAGCAGGGTTGCTTCTAAGAAGCCCTCCCCCCTCCCCCCACCTCCCTCTGCGCGTGACTGACAATCTCCGGGCAGACGCAGGAAAAGGAAGGGGTGGCCAAACGTTCGCAACGGGCGCGCGGTGTAAACGCGGCTGGGCCGACGCAGCCGGCACCGCGTGAACTCCTCTGGATTTCCCGACCCGGTACCTGGCAGCGGGGCGGGGGCCACCTCCTCCCGCTGCGCACTCGCCAGGCGACGCCTGTCAAGTTTGACTATCCACCACCACCACCACCACCACCACCACCACCATCATCATCATCATCATCATCATCATCATCATCATCATCATCGTCGTCATCATCATCATCATCATCATCATCATCATCATCATCATCATCATCATCATCATCATCCTCATCATCGTCATCATCGTCATCGTCATCGTCATCGTCATCGTCATCATCGTCATCATCGTCATCATCATCATCATAATCAGCATCAGCATCATCAGCATCGTCATCATTAGCATCATCATCAGCATCAGCATCAGCATCATCATGAGCATCATCATCATCAGCATCATCATCAGCCGCAGCAACAGCAGCAGCATCCTCATCCTCCTCCTCATCCTCATCCTCCTCATCATAATCCCCATCACCATCACCATCACCATCACCATTACCATCACCATCACCATCATCATCATCATCATCATCATCATCATCATCATCATCATCGTCACCATCATCACCATCATCATCGTCAGCATCGTCATCACCATCATCAGCATATCATCATCAGCAACAGCATCAGCATCATCATCAGCATCAGCATTAGCATCAGCATCATCAGCATCAGCATCGTCGTCGTCGCCGCCGTCGTCATCATCATCATCACCACCACAACCACCACCACCACCAGAATCATCATCATCAGCATGATTAGTATTACAATCAGCATCATCATCATCGTCATCATCATCATAATCAACAGCATAAGCATCCGCATCAGCATCATCATCGTCATCATCGTCATCATCATCATCCTCGTCATCATCAGCATCAGCATCAGCATAATCAGGATCATCAACCTCAGCATATCATACCCATCCTCATTCTCATTGTAATCCTGATTATCCTCATCACCATTTGCATCAGCATCATCGTAATGCTTATCATCATCAGCAGCATCATCATCACCACCATCATCAGCAGCATCATCAGCAGCATCATCGTCGTCATTATCATCATCATACTCGTCATCATCATCAGCAGCAGCATGATCATCAGCAACAGCAGCAGCAGCATCCTCATCACCAGCTTCATCATCGTCATCATCAGCATCAGCATCACCATCAGCGTCAGCATCAGCATAAGTATGATAATGATCACCAGCATCATCAGCAACAGCAGCATCATCAGCATCATCATCATCACCATCATCAGCATCATCATCAGCACCATCATCATCAGCAACATCACCATCCTCGCCATCACAACCACCATCAACAGCAGCATCAGCGTCAGCATCCTCATCATCAGCGTCATCATCATCAGCAGCAGCAGCATCACCATCATCATCATCGTCATCATCATCATCATCGTCATCATCCTCAGTATCGTCCTCATCATCATCATCATCATCAGCAGCATCATCATCATAATAATCATCATCATCAGCATCATCATCGTCCTACTTATCAGCATCATCAGTATCGTCAGCATTATCATCATCAGCATCATCATCCGCATCAGCATCAGCATCAACAGTATCCTCGCATCCTCGCCTCCTCTCATCATCTCATCCTCTCATCCTCTAATCCTCTCATCCTCTCATCCTCTCATCCTCTCATCCTGTCAGCCTCTCATCCTCTCATCCTCTCATCCTCTCATCCTCCTCATCATCATCCTCCTCCATCTCCACCTGCACCTCCACCTCCACCTCCCACTCCACCTCCACCTCCACCTCCGCCTCCGCCTCCGCCTCCCGCCTCCCACCTCCCGCCTCCCGCCTCCAGCCTCCCGCCTCCCACCTCCCGCCTCCTCCTCCTCCTCCTCCCTCCCTCCCTCCCTCCCTCCCTCCCTCCCTCCCTCGCTCCCTCGCTCCCTCGCTCCCTCGCTCCCTCGCTCCCTCGCTCCCTCCCTCGCTCCCTCGCTCCCTCGCTCCCTCCCTCCCTCGCTCCCTCGCTCGCTCGCTCGCTCCCTTCCTCCCTCCCTCCCTTCCCCCCCGATCCCTCCCTCCCCTCCCCTCCCCTCCCCCCCTCCTCCCCTCCTCCTCCTCCCTCCCCTCCTCCTCCTCCTCCTCCTCCCTCCTCTCCCTCCTCCCTCGCTCCCTCCTCGCTCCCGCTCCCTCCCTCGCTCCCTCGCTCCCTCGCTCCCTCGCTCCCTCGCTCGCTCGCTCTCGCCCTCTCCTCCCTCCCTCCCTCCCTCCCCCCCCTCCTCCCTCCCTCCCCTCTCCCCTCCTCCCTCCTCCCCTCCTCCCCTCCTCCCCTCCTCCCTCCTCCCCTCCCCCCCCTCCTTCCTCCCTCCTCCTCCCTGCCCCCCTCCTTCCCTCCCTCCCTCCCTCCCTCCTTCCCTCCTCCTCCTCCTCCTCCTCCTCCTCCTCCTCCCCTCCCCCTCCTCCTCCTCCTCCTCCTCCTCCTCCTCCTCCTCCCCTCCTCCTCCTCCTCCGCCTCCTCCTCCTCAGAGTACGCAACGATGGGCTTGTCCTCTGCGTAGTCCAGCCGGATAGGGACGCCCTCGGCAGAGGCGGGGGTACCGCAGGCACAGACGGTGGCGGAGGCGCAGGGACGAAAGAGCACGCCCCCCACCGCGCCGAGCATGCGCTTCCTTCCATCCTGCCCTCCTCTACCCTCCTCGATCCTCCTCGACCTTTCTCCTCGACCCTCCTCGATCCTCCTCGACCCTCCGCCGCGACCCTCCTCGATCCTCGACTCGACCTTTCCCTCTCCCACCCTCCGCCAGAGGAGGCAGAGGCTGGCAGTAGCCGGAGCGGCAGCGGAAGCGGCAAGCGGGAGCGGCAGGCGGAGGGGCTGGCGTCCTTGACGCGCGTCCCCGCCAGCTCCGCAGCCTTGTCCACGGCCTGGCGGCACCGTGGCGCACGGAACGAAGGGCGAGGTGCAGGGGGAGAAGGGGGCGGAGAAGGGGGTGGGAGGCGGGAGGAGGCAGGGGGCGAGGTGGACAGGGACGCGTGCAGTTGCCGTCTTCGGAGCTGCCTCTTCGCGCGGTGGCCCCCGCCCTCCTGGAACAGGCTGCGCGACGGCCCCGATTCACCCAAGACCCCCCTGCCTCCTCCCTCCTCCCTCCTCCTACCTCCCACCTCCTTCTCCGTACCTTTTCCCTCGGAGGCAACGAAAGGGGGACTGACATAATTATGAGCTCGAGTCGGCGATACATCGCTCACTGATCGGCGATAGGCCTTCGAAAGCAAATCCAAACGTTCCCCGACGGGGTGGGACTAACAGACCCCTATCGGCGATCCATGGGCGATTGGGGGTCGGTGCATCCTCCCGATGCCTTTCCCCCCTATCGTTGCCCCTGCAAGAAAGGGGCGGAGAAGGAGGTGGGAGGTGAAAGGAGGGAGGAGGCAGGGGGGACTTGGGTGAAGCCTGGCCGTCGCACAGCCTGTTCCAGAAGGGTGGGGGCAGCCGCGCGAATACAAAGCTCTATGTAGGAGGACGGCAGCAACCCACCGACGCGGATGCTGGCATGGCCAAGATCCGTGTCGGCGCACAGCCGCCGCGATCACGCCCGAGGCCGCCCCCCCCCACCACCCTCCGTTCCTAAGCATTCCCAGACGGCGCCGGCGCGATTCGTGGAGTGACCAGCCCCCTGCCCCCCCCCTCCCTCCCCACCCTCCCCCGGTCACGCCCGTTGTCGCCAGGGGATAAAAAAAGGTCTCATCGCATACAGTGGAGGCCAGTCCGCAAGAAGCCCTCCACAAGAAACCCAACCCCGAGATCCCAGGACGTCCATTAATTGTTGGTGAGGGAACGTCACGCTTTCCATAGCAAAACCATCGAAACCCAAGAAACCCAGGGCACCCTGGAGGCGAGCAGGGTGCCTATTGGCATGGGCCTCCACTGTACGCCTGCCTTACCTTCCACCTGGAACTTCTCCCCAGCCGCTGCCCAGGCCCGAGGCGGGCGCGGTAGCCTCCCGAGACAAGCGTCACCCGGCCCGGGCCACGACGTCGTGCACTGCGTGCGGCTTGCGAGAAACTTGGCTGCTGCGTGCAGCAAGCGAAAAACCTGTGTGCCAGGCCGCCTCCCTACCAGCGGCCTCATGGAAGGCCACACACATAAAGATACCCCCCCCTGTTTGCAAACCTCCCTGCTCGCAAACCCCAAGTCTATGCACTCCCAGGGCCCACCTTTGCTTCCAGGCTGGGTGGACGTCGCGATTGGCCCTGCGGCGGTCAGCGATCACCAGTCGCCGACCGCCAGCTCGCCGCTGCGGGACCTTCGGCCCGAGGGCCGCCTGACCTGAGGAGGAGGAGCAGTAGCAGCAGGGCTGCGACAGGGAGTTGGCGTTGGTGTCGAAGAGTCCGCCGATCGCAGCTTCCATTGACGACAAACATCTGCAATGTCTTAGGAGTTACAGCGTCAGGAAGTCTCAAACGAGAGCGCGACTTTGAGGAGGCGTCGACCTCCATTGGCTGAAATGTTGGAGATTGATAACTTTAGTGCCAAGAACTGTAGGGCGCGAAATGCCGAAGATGTGCGCTCTCTGTCCGCGCAATTGTTGAGACGTCTACGTATTATCGTGAACAGGACAGTGAATAGCCTTTTTTTCTACAGCACGCGTGGCACTGACCAGAGCGATCCAGCAGTTGGACGCCTGCGCGGCGAGCCTGCGTGCTACAGGCGCGCCTTCCTCCTTTGCAGGGACGCCAGCCTTTCCTGGCGAAGGCAACATCGCTTGTTCTACGTGGGATGGCCATCAACAGCGGGACAAGATCAAGCAAGGACGCGATCTTGGAAAATATCCGCCCTCCTCTCGTGGAAGTGTGGGGGGATCTGGGCAACAGGAATGCAGGGTGACCGGACGTGTCAGGCTGGAGTTCGTCGTTGAAGACCACCCGCCCTCGATCCGCGGAAGTGTTCGAAAATCCCAGCTGGGACCACCATGATGGATCATAAAGATTGAAGGGGCCCAGGGACACACACATAAATAAACACTAATAACAAGATTCCCCATATTGTCCTATATTGTCTGGAGTTTCGGCTTCCCCCCCACTTCCCATATTTTCGTATAGTTTCCTGGGGATCGACAATTTATTGTGTCTGTGTGTTGTACCCCTCCTGGAATATGTCAGGCGAAGCGCATGGCCCGCCCCACCGACACGCCCAGTGGCGCAACGATAAGGAGGTATACACTGAGGAAGAAAGAGGAGAAGGAGGGTGAGGATGAGGGAGCTCACCAATCACGACCCCCCATGTTCCGAAGCAGTGTCTCCCCCTGAATCGATCCCAGCCTGCCCCAGGGCCACGAGAGTCGCCATCCCCTCCATCCCCTTCATCTCCACCTCCACCTGCCTAGAAGAAGAAAAAAACGCCATAAACATAAACGTTTGGCGCTCCGCGCTGATTTCTTGATCTGCGCTGGACCCCCCTCCCTGGCGCGCGGAGCGCGCCAGGGGCGGCGACGGAGGCGCCGCCAGGGTGGTCCCACCGCGGATCCAAGAAATCCGCGCGGAGCGCCAAAAGTGTATGTTTATGGCGTTTTGTTTTTTCTTCGACTCCCATCATCCACCACCTCCGCTTCTTCTTGCGCCCGCAAAGCGAGCGGTACGGGGTCCTCCGTCTCGAAGAACTTCAAGAATCCGAACTGCCCGTTTCGCAGCTGGTTCACCTGCCACCGCGGCCGCCCAGCACGCCAGCACGTGGGAGGGGCGCAGGGCTCCCGTCGTTCAGCGGCGAGCGAGGGGGGGAAGTGAGAAGGAGAAGGCCTCCTCAGGCGGCGGGACTTCTCAGAAACCCTCGGCCCTTTTCAGAAATTGTCTTTGACTTCCGGGAAGGCTTAGAAAGCTTCTCAGAAGGCCGGGGAACTTCCAAGCCTCCTGAAAGGCCCGCCCCTCCTCACTTGCCCCCCTGGCTCGCCGCCGAGTCTTATTCGTCGTCATATTCCATGTGGCAGGGGGTGCCGAAGAAGCCGTCGAGGTCCGGGGCAGAAACTGGCGGACAGACACACATAATCCGTGTCGGACGCATTTTTGAATTCTGGGGTGGACTTCGGCCCTCGGCGAGCGGGTTATGCAGCTCCCAGCCAGCCTGCAGGCAGATCATCTCCACCTTGCCGCATGGCTCGAAGAGGTCGACCAGATCCTGCTGGGTGGGCAAGATGCCAACAGAACTTCAGGCCCTTAACTCAGAAGCAGCAGCAGCAGGAGCAACAGCGAAGGAGGGAGGGAGACGGGAGGGAGGAAGGGAGGGAGAGGAAGGTGAGGGAGGGAGTGGTTCATGGTGAATCTGAAGAGGCCCCAACCCAGTGCCTGCCAGCCAGTCCGCAGACGCTGCCAGCACAGGCGGAAGAGATTTGGCGGCGAGCGATGGGGGGAAATGAGAAGGAGAAGGCCTTCTAAGAGGACTTCTCATAAGCCCTCCAGCCTCCTGAGAAGCCCTCTAACCTTCTCGGAAGGCCGAGGGGACTCCCGAGCCTTCTGAGAAGGCCTCCTCCTTCTCGCTCCCCCCCCTCGCTCGCCGCCGAGCGATGGGAACGTCATTGGCAGACCGCCGCCGGACCCCGCCGGCACCCCGGCCGGCGGCCAGCGATTATGGCCCGAGGCGGCAGCGGCCACGGGGCACGCGCGGGCGCCGGCTGCGCCGGTGCGAGGAGGGCAGGAGCTAAGTGTTGGTTCGGGCATGTCCTCCTACAGGCGGATTGTAGACGAAAAATAAAACATGATCAGAGAATACCCCAAATATTCCAAAAAGAGTCGACGAATCGTCAACGGTCGAATTTTGATATATTGTTGAACATTCCTCCTGTAGGGAGACATGCCCGACCTAAAGCCAGTGGAGAGAGCGGCCGCGGGGAACGAACGAAAGAACGCCAAATACGCGCACGCTCCGCCAGGGAGCCCGCCCGTGCCCGCCAGGGCATGGCGCGGAGGCCGTGGCCTCCAAAGGTGCGGCGGGCGCGGGAAGGGCGTGCGAGGCAGAGATATGCCCATATCCGCCGCCTGGAGAACTGAGGTCTTGGGACCGCAGCGGGCGGAGGATGTGGGATGCACTTCGGCCCCAGGGGGCGCCGAATACATACATATCCACCGCCTGCCGAGGACCCCAGGATCGATCGCCAGGCGGTGGTTACGGATAACTCCCCGGACATCCGGCGCTCCAACTTTTTCGACGCGTGGACTCCCACGAGGTCTGGATAACTTCCCTGGGGCCAGCTTTCCATCCTGAGTCGTCTTTCTCCAATCAGTGCTTGCACTGAAGGGGTCCTAGCGGAAATTGAAAAATTTGGCGAAACTTTCCCGCCGATTTGGGTCGCACGCTGGGTTCCCCGGGTTCCCGGTTCGGGGTTCCCGGGTTCCCAGGTTCCCGGTTATGGATTCCAGTCTGAATTCGGTGGTTTCCGGGTTCCTGGGTTCCCGGTCGATTCCTGGTCGATCTCCTTATCGATATTTCCCTACCTAGGCTCTGCCTAGAAGGGTTCTTACTCTCTTAGCTTAAAGGGGCCGGGCAGTGCACACCGCCCCGGCGGTTCCCCCAGTCCCCTGGGAGCGGTTCCCCCCAGTCCCCTGGGAGCTTTAGCTTTAGCTTTAGCTTTAGCTTTAGCTTTAGCTTTAGCTTTAGCTTTAGCTTAGCTTTAGCTTAGCTTTAGCTTAGCTGTAGCTTAGCTTGAGCTTAGCGTTTCGCTTAGCTGTTCGCTTGGCTTTTAGCTTAGCCTTTAGCTTAGCTTTAGCTTAGCTTTAGCTTAGCTTTAGCTTAAATTGAGCTTAGCTGTAGCTTAGCTTTAGCTTAGCTTTACCTTAGCGTTAGCTTAGCTTTAGCTTAGCTTTACCTTAGCTTTAGCTTAGCTTTAGCTTAGCTATAGCTTAGCTTTAGCTTAGCTGTTGCTCAGCTTTAGCTTAGCTTTAGCTTAGCTGTTGCTCTGCTTTAGCTTAGCTTTAGCTTAGCTTTAGCTTAGCTTTAGCTTAGCTTTAGCTTAGCTGTGGTTTAGCTTTAGCTTAGCTTTAGCTTAGCTTTAGCTTAGCTTTAGCTTAGCTTTAGCTTAGCTTTGGCTTAGCGTTACTGTTACGACTAATGCTGCTTTCCTAGGGGTTCCAACTCCTAGGTAGGGTCGCACTGGGATAACTTTATCGATCCCACGATTCATTATCGATCTCATGACCGGTCCCACTATTCATCTCACTCAATCGATGTCACCATCGATCTTAGCTAACCATCCACTGATTGTGGTTTTCTCTGGTGTAATTAACGGTGCTGGGGACCGTTTTTTTTTCTTTCTGCACGACGTCGGATGTCGGGGTACCCCCGAGGCAAGCTGCTTACATAAGGCTCACAGGCCCATCCACCGGGCGTTTGCCAGTCGACTCTACGTGATGACTGTTCTAACTCGCACGCGCTTCGCGACAGCGCACCAAAAAAAGCAACTCGGCAAGCGTCAGTAACACCGCAACGCAGCACGACACGTACAACCGAGAGCCGAAACGAATCGATAATGCAGACCTCAATATTGACCTGTATGATGGTGAACGGTTGCTTCCAGCGACAGCTTTGTACTTTTCCTTCTGAGTGCGCTTCCGCGTGCCTAGTGCGAGCTTCATGATTTCAGCGTCGAGGACCCATTCGCCATGATGTCAGCGATGGTGGCCCAGTGGTTGTAATACTCGCACGACTGCTCGATGCCCTGCGCCGAATCCCCACACGTCATTCCTGGCTCGGCAATTGAAACGACCTCTGGGGGGAACGATGGATCGGCCGCGTAGTCTAAAATCTCCACCCAATTGTTCAACTCGTCCAGGCGGTCGAGCATGCGCTCACACGGCTCCATGGACGCTGGAATCGCAGGGCTGCTGAACTCGTCGTGCAACCAGCGCTCGACCGCTGAAACACCAGCGTTCGGGCGCTGCACCCACGCGTCGTCGGCCCAGCCGTCATCTGCCGTATTTTCCCACCAGTTCCCTTTGCTCCTGGGATCCACCAGCTCGAGGTTCTTTGGCGCCGCGGCTAGGCCCGGGCATCCATCCTGCTTGCGAACCAAGTCAAAATCCTTCTCCTCCGCGACGGCCCACTGCCTGAGGCTGGTGCACCAGTACAGGAAATAAGCAGCATCCTTGGTAGGTCCAGTGGTCCAGAATGTCGCCAAATTGCCGACCCACCACTTCTCTTCGCGGACCTCCGTGAACCGCTGATTGAGGTCAGGCCGCGTAAAGCCGTCGAGGACGATAGTGTCTGGCCACCTGCTGTGGCCCACGTCTTTGAAAGTGACAGTCTCGGATGCGTACGTGTTCAACACGATTTCGCGCAGCCATGGCCCCAACGGGAACTCCGCGAAGAAGTCTACTGTATAGGTGCCCGGACCGCCCGGCAAGTCAACGCGGACGTTCGGCTGGTTGGCCCACTCTTGCAGCGCAGACCGGGAGCTTGATACTGACACATTGCCAGTGGTCACCCGCAGAAAGATCCTGGGATCGACGTCGCCGCATCCTGCTCTCTCCATCACCCGACTGCTCGGCCACTCCAACTGCACCGAGAAAGGCTCGCTGGACGCCACATCGAACTCCACCACCTTGGAGATCCGCTGCTCCTGCTTGGCGAACCGCCTCGCCGACACCGAATACCCGTCGCGCACTCTCGCGACGGTTGTTGCGCCGAAGGCAGATAGGAATTCGTCAAACAGCATGTAGAAGAAACCATGACGGATCTTTGGGTTCAACCGCGCTGGCACCTTGCCCCTGTAATTGCTGAAGGCCCATGGGTTGAATAAGTGAGACACACGATGGCTGGTCCCGTCAATGTCCATCAGCGTGGCCCCAAGGACGGCATAGGCATGACCACGGGCGATGTTGTTAGTGGTGTCGTCCCCTGTCCCGGCCACCAGGGGATGGCGTTTATGGACTGCGTCAGTGATTGCTGCCCAAAGGTCTTCCTTTGAAAACTCGAAGCCTTGACCTGCATGGGGCAAAATATCCACTGGAGCCTGCGTCAACGCTTTGATGGCCTCAACGGCGAATCCGCTCTCGATGCGCTTATAACTTCCGAAAATCTTCGCCCACGCCTTCTCCAAGATCATGGGCCAAATCTTCCGCTGGGGACCGTAAGAGGCGAAAGTAGGCCAACCGTCCCAGGCAGGAAACCATCCATCCACAGCGACGACAACTGGGCGGCCTGTCACAAGCCATCGCGCGACGTAAACGGGGTGGTGTCCTTCCCAAAGATCGTGCCTCTGGAAGATGCGACCGATGAGGTGAGGCTGGTAGTGTGCTATGGAACCCAAAGTGGCAAGGAAATAGCAGCTTCCAAGATCACCTTGCGCGACATCCTGGGGGCCCCATCCGAGCACACTCCAGGGCAGTGTACACCGACTTCGGAGCGCGTCCCAACCGCAGTTCGCGGTCTTCCTGCAAGCTTGCTCTGAATGGAAACTAGTCGCCGCACTTCTGTCCACTCAGTTCGGCGGGAGCTGCAAGCCGTGCGCCAAAGGCCAGGGCCGGGAAGGAGACCCACCTAACCACCACTGCGGCCACCAAGCGGTGGCACAGGCCAGTGGTGTTCCAGCGCCACATTGTAAGATCGGCGAACCCTATGACATGCAAGAGGGGGCGTTAGCGAACCACGTCTTGAAATGACTTAGTTGAGCAAAATTCGCTTGAGCCAAAATGGCTACGGAACGGTGCTGGGGACCGTTGAGGGCCCCAGAGGCTGAAAATAGCCCAGAGCTGGGCACGCCAATTGGTCGGAACGAACAAGCGAACGACGCGCGGAGGCGTCCAAGCCGGGGGACGGGCTGGGCCGTTGCCGGCATGCGCCGGAGGCCGCAGCCTCTCACGAGCGACGATCAAAACCGAGTCTTACGCGAGATGACATAGCGCCATTACGCGGTGGCTTACGCGGGCCGCCAGCGCGGCACGCCACATCGGAGACGAGGGCGCTTACGCGCGATCTCACGCGGGCAGCTCACGCGCCAGTGTCGGCGCAGACGACCCCGTTTTTTGCGTTGATCCGATGAGATGGTTCTTGAAATGCTGGGGCGGCTGGAGATACGTATGCCCAAAATGGAGACAGAGATGTTAGGTAACGAAGTGCGTCCCTCCACCTCGCTTTGACATACGATGGGGCCTTTCCCAAAATAACGATGGCATCACTGGAAGCACAGTGCTCGTCCCGGGTATGCATGTTGAGGTACCGCGAGAGCTCATTCTACGAAGTTGCTGTGCTTCCTGATTTCTCACTTCGGAAGCGGTCTGTGCACGCGCTGCAAATGTGGAAATCTTGACAGCAAATGCCCCCTCGTCCATAATGCACTCTCGAAGCGGTATCCCTGTCAATTCAATGATATTTGCAGATATCCAGATATCGCAACATTCGAATGAGGCTGCTTGTCAAAAAGTCTGCTTTCGTGTACCTTTAAATTCCACCTTTCAGCTATAGGGCAAGATATGCCAAAAATCGTTGCACGATTGTATTGAGACGATGCTATATCCAATACTTCCATTGGTCTGCTTTCCACCCTTTGTGCTTGAGCTTTGTGCGCACGGTAAGCCCTTTGAATTGTTGATGCTGCGTGCGCATGCTGATGACGTTTGTGCAATCGTTGCCCAAATCTACAAAACAACCTTTGCATGCAAGTAGCTGCGACCTCCGTGTTCGTTAGCTGGATTACGCTTTAATTGGGAAGAACTCAAGGACCATGAACCCCACCACATTTGCCACTGTTCCCGTTCATATCTCAAAGATGCGATGGGTAACCTGAGCTCCATCTTGTCCTTGTCCTTGCGCTGTTTGGCCTCGTGTCGACGCTGTGATCGAGCACAGCATCCTCGGATCTTTGGGTCCTCGCTTTGCGAGGGCGGGGGGGCCGCCCCCCCATCCACTTTGGCCGACCCCTCACACGCTTCGTGGCCCCATAGGGAGCTCCGCCCAAGTGGCTGCGTTGACGTGCCGCCCCCCCTCCACTTTGGCACACCCCTCAAACATTTCGTGGCCCCATAGGGAGCTCCGCCCATGGCCCCAGTGGCCTCGATACCTTCCTGCCCCCCCCCCCACTTTGGCACACCCCTCACACGCTTCGTAGCCCCATATGGAGTCCCACCGAGGGCCCCAGGAGCGCCCGGCAAGGCGGCGCTGCGGCTGCGGCGTACCGCCGCCGGCAGCTCTCGGCAAGGGGCCGGCACGTCGGACGGCCGCGGTGAGGCGCGCCGTGCGGCACCGCAGGCTCTCGCTGTACCGCACAGTCGCAGCACGAGTGGAGAAGTCGGTGAGCCCTCCTGCTCCAGGAGCAGAGCAGAGCAGCACCAATGATCCGATGAAGTGTAACTACCTCGAGACTACAGCCCCCTGCAGGACATCAAGGGAAACAAAAAAACGGATCAGGCGTTCAAGAACCACTCAAGGAACCCAATATTATTTGGGGCCCTGCAGGTGGAAACCACAGGCAGAAACGAGACCCCCATACGGGGACACCTCGGGGGCTCGCCTATGCACTCCCTCATGCTCCAGGTGGGGGAGGAGGACCAGTACGAACCCAAGACGCGTCAACGATGTTGCAACATAAATTCCTCCCTCCAACTTCCCCCTTCACATGTCCCTACAAGAATTCAGGTTCACTGCTGGAAACGCCCCGTTGGAAGACAGTCGTCTGAGAACCCTCGTTCGTGTCAAAACGCCTCTCCTTGGACTTCAACGCTGGGAATCAACTTCACTGTTGCGTCCTGACGATCCTGCATCGAGCCAGACCACCATGTTGTGACTTCAACACCGCGAATCAACGTGACTGCTGCGCCCTGGCAATCCTACGTCGAGCCAGAACACCGTTCCTCGGATGCCAAACACAAGAATCCGCTAAACGATCGTAAGTTGTTGAAACGAATGCGCGCGGCGTTAAAGCGAAAGCCACATATTGAAAACCACTCGCCCTGCATGTGCGAAATTCCTTCGAAAATTTAGAACGAATTTGCTCCGCGCAAAGGCGAGAGCCATATTCTGAAAAACAAAAAGAGGGGAAACAAAAAAACGTCCATGCAACTCTTCCAAATGTTAAGCTTCAACGACATAAATGGTGAACAGGTCTCAGGCAAAACGCCTGGCACGCCCTACCGACACGTCTCGGGGTGCAACTGTGCGGAGTTATATAGACGGAAAAGGATGGAGGAGGAAGAGGAGGAGGAGGAGGAGCAGGAGGAGAGGGAGGAGAAGGAAAAGGAAACAAAAGAGCAAGAGGAGAACGATGACGAAGACGAGGAAGAGGGAGAGGGGGACGGACGGCAAGGGGTAAAAAAGGCGAGGGCGAGGTGGATGAGGACGGACAGGTAAAGAAGAAGGACAAAGGCAAGTGAGAGAACAACGACGACCACCACGGCCACGACCACGACCACGACCACGACCGCGACCACAATGACGACGACCACGACGACCACCACGACGACGACGACGACCACCATCACCATGACGACGACGACAAAAACGACGATGACGACGAGGGGGGGCGCGCTGGACCCTCCTGCTCCGTGGTTTCCAGGGCGAGGTCGCCCACCCAGAGCCTGGCAGGCCACCCGGCAAAGCAGGGGCAGACACTGCAGGAGCCAGGAGGAGGAGGCTTGGCCACGTCAGCACTGGGTCCACGATGGGCACAGCCACAGAGAACGCTGCTGAACAGTAGGCAGCTACCGAACGCTTAATCTCTGTTCAGAGACCGTCTCTCTGTGGCAACTCTCATGCTTTGGGCACGTTCGGGGGTCTGAACTGGATGAGGCCCGAGGAAATCAGACAACAAGGCGAGATAAGAGCCAATCTGCTCGAACTCTGTCTCTGGGCCCCTCACGGGGTCCACATGAAGCAAGCTTTCACCCCAGATCAAAGTTTGACGGCCTCGGGGCCCGAATGCGGCCCTGGGAGAACAAACGACAAAGAGAAAAACAGTTCCAAGCCAAAACCTCGAACCTCGACCCCCCTCCTGCTCGCCGGAACCAATGCTGGGCCACCTTGGACCCCCAGCAAACCCCAACCCCTCCCCTCGGGACGGCGGGGCTTACCTGAGGTCAGGCGCGTCCCCCTACAGGGGGATTGTAAACGAAAAATCAAAAGATATTCACAACTAATCAAAAATCGTATAAAAAAATCGCCCCCGTACTTGTTATATATATATATGAGATTATGAAAGTAAATGTGAGAGTGAGAGAGATATGATATACATATATATGTACATATATGTATACATACATACATACATACATACATACATACATACATACATACATGCATACAAACATACATACATACATACATACATACATACATACATACATACATACACACACATACATACATACATACGTACGTACGTACGTACATACATACATACATACATACATGCATGCATGCATGCATGCATGCATGCATGCATGCATACATACATACATACATACATACATACATACATACATACATACATACATACATACATACATACATACATACATATATATACATTTATGCATATATATATATGTACATACATATACATACATACACATATATATACACTAGAACCATCGCGCGCGCCTCGCGCGCGCTCAGATCCTAGTTGAGGTCACCGCTCAGGTGCGATGCCCGCGACGATTCTTGCCACGAAAACAGCGGCGCGCGCTGCAAGCCACGTGTTCCGGAAGCGCACTTCTGGAACATGGGAACGGAGATCCCCGATCCTCATCGTCCTGCTGTGCTGCTTTCTCCGATGTTATTCCTCACTCTTCCTTTTCTGCTCCTCCTCTGGGCGCTCCGCGCGGCGCTGTAGCGTGCGCCGTCTGGGACCTTGGAGAGAGTGCTGAAGTCGTCGGCGCCGCCGTCGTCGCCATCGTCGTCGACCTCGTCGTCGTCGTCGTCGTCGTCGTCTTCGTCGTCGTCGGCTTTCTCGTCGTCGCCGGCGCCCTCGTCGTCCTGTCGTTTTCCTCGTCGGCGTCGACGCCGTTTTCATACTTGGTTTTGACGTCCTGGTGGATCTCTTGGAGACAGTTTTGAAGCATCCTGGGAGCTGTTTTGGGGTTTATTCGAAGCCTGTCGGGGGCCTCTTGGGGGTTTCTCGGGGCATCCTGGGGGTCTCTCGGTGCCTCTGGGGGTGGCCTGTCGGGATTTCCTGGCGCCCTCTTGAGGCGGAAGGCTCAGATTTCTGTTCGTGGTTCCTCCCTGGAGCCCGCCTGGCGCGCGTGGCCCCAGCGCAGTCGCCCGGGAGCCTAAACAGCTGCGCCGAGGACGGCGACCACGACGACTTTGACGACGACGACGACAACGACGACGACGACGGCGACCATGCCGCTCATGTTCGCACGCCATGTTCCGGAGGAGCGTTCCCGGAGCATGGGGCGCCAGAGGCTCCCCCGCTCTTCCCCACTCCTGGACTATCCTGCCAAGGAACTCTTGGGTTGCGTAGGCCGGTCTCGCGGGCTCCATGGGGCTCTCTGGGCCCGCCTAGGGCTGTTTGGGAGCGGACCTGGAGGCGCGCTGGGCCCTATTGGAGCGTCGGAAAGCCGAAAAGACAAGAAGGCCAAGATCCCTCAATTCTTACGTAAAATGAACGATTTGGGCCTGTTGGGACCCTCCTGGGGGTGCTCCTGGAGGCGTCTTGAACCATGTTTGAAGCCTCTTGAGAGCTACCTGGGGCCTCCTGGGGCTCTCTTGAAGCGGAAGCCCTGGGTTTTCCGGACGCGGTCCGTCTCTTCCTGTTTTGGGGCACTCGTGGGCTGCCCTGGGCGCTTCTTGGGCCAGCCTTGGGCTCTCCGGGACCGCCTCGGGGCGGCCTTGGGCGCTTCTGGAGCTGTTTGGGGGCGGTCTCGGAAGCCTCCTGGGCCTCCTAAGAGCGTCAGACAGCCGCAAAGATCAGAAGGCCAAAACCCTTCCAAAAATATTGTAAAACCATCAATTTTGGCCTGCTGGGGCCCTCGTGGGAGTGCTGTTGGAAGCGTCTGGAGCCATGTTGGAGGACACTTCGGGGCTGCCTGGGGCCTCCGGGGTCGCTGTTGAGGCGGGAGCCCTGGGTGTTCGGTACGCGGTCCCTCTCTTGGGCCCTTCTTGGGCTGTCATGGGCGCTTCTTGGGCCAGCCTTGGGCTCTCCGGGCCGCCTTGGCTTGTCTTGGGGGCCTCTGGGGCTGCTTGGGGGCGGACCTGGAGACCTCCTGGGCCGTCTTGGAGCGTCGTACAACCGAAAAAAACAGAAGGCCAAAATACTTCCAGAACCCTCGGAAAACCATCAATTTTGGCCTCCCGGGGCTCTCTGGGAGTGCTCCTGGAAGCGTCTGGAGCCATGTTGGAGGCTTCCGAAACCTCTACCACGTGCTTCGGCGACATGGGTCGAAGATGGGAACCATTCCTGGTGCTGAAACATCACCAGGGTCCGTCCAGAGCCGCTCGGGAGATTTCCGGAGCGGCTCTGGAGAGGCCCGGGGGGGGTCCTCTCATGGCGACTCGAGGCAGCTGGCCAGAGGCCCGGGCCTCGTACCCCGACAGATACATATATATATATATATATATATATATATATATCCCAAAAAATCAAATATTCCTCCTGTAGAGGGACAGGCCCGACTTAAGCGTGGACCCTTTTGGGCACCCGACCTTTCGCTGGGCCAGCGAGCGGGCAGGCATGGCCCCAGGTCGGGCGCGTCCTCCTTCAGGCGGACTTGGGGCGAAACAGAGAAAATGCTCAAAACATACGCCCGAACAGTCCAAAAAGAATAGAAAAATCGTCCCCTGACTGTTTTTCCGGCATTCTTGCACATTCTTCCTGTAGAGGGACAGGCCCGACTTCAGCGTGGCTCGGCCCCCCAGGCTGGGCAGGCCCAGGCGCGCCCCCAGGACGAGGCACCCGCAGGGAGGCCTCGCAGCGGCCACGGCTCCAGCCACGGCGGGCGCCAAGGCGCAGCCGTCGGGCGTCCCGAGTGGGGCCACGACCGAGGCGCCCTCTCCAGGTGAAGGGGACCGAGGACACACAGATAACCAGCAGCATCGTCAGAATCGTCATTGTCATCAGCACCATCATGATGATTATTAACATAATCAGCATCATCGGCATCATCAGCAGCATCAGCATCAGCATCATCAGCATCAGCATCAGCATCATCATAGGCATCAGCAGCAGCATCATCATCAGCATAAGCATCAGCATCATCATCAGCATCATAATCAGCAGCATCAGCATCAGCATCCTCAGCATCATCATCAGCAGCAGCATCATCAGCATCATCAGCATCAGCATCACCATTATCATCATGTCTTCATAAGCATCATCAGTTTCAACAGCAGCAGCAGCATCAGCATCAGTATCAGCATCAGCATCGTCACGAACCTCCACCTCATAGCTCTTTTACAACACCAGCGCAATCTTGAACCTTAACGTCGTCGTCGTCGTCGCCATGAACATCAATAGCGTCATCGCCGTCACTATCGCATCACCATCGCACAAACATCTCCTCCGGTTCCTCCTCTTCCTCCTCCTCCTTCTCCTCCCCTCATCCTCCTCCCCTCATCCTCCTCCTGCTGCTCCCCTTTCAGACCCCAGAGAGCGTGTGTCCGTTCTCAGGCTTCAAGCTCTTGGGCTTGTAGCGGCGGAGGTCCCGTTCCTGCCGGTCATCCGAGGGGACGCGAGGGGTCGGGCGCGCCAGATCGTCCTGCCGGCCCGCCGCACACGATCATCCCTTGTCGATTTCCTGCCCCCCCTCGCATACTCTCAGAGCTCGGAGCAAGTACGCCTCACGGACCCGCTGCCGCCTCTCATCGTCCTCCTCCTCCTCCTCCTCCGCCTCCTCCTGATATTCCTCCTCCTCCTCCTCATCATCATCTTCCTTTTCTTCTTAATATAGTATTCTTAATATCAGTATCATGCGTCGTTGTATTCGTATAATTCGTACTACGATTATAATTATTAATACTATTACTGGTAGTACTAGCATTGTTTGCATTACTATTAGTAGTAGTAGTCGTAGTAGTAGTAGTAGTAGTAGTAATAATATTGGTACCCTTGTTAGTATTCACATTCGTATTGTTTAACTGTTATTATTGTTGATGTTTTATCATTGTTAGTATTATGGTTATCCTTCTCAGTATTAATACTCGTGCTACTATTAATGTTCTTAATCATCGTAATATTATTCGTATTACTACTGTTTTAGTAGTAATATCACTATCATTATTCGTATCGTCATTAGTATTACTAGTATTATTGTTCGTGTTAGTAGTACGAGTCCGATTGACATGAAGTATTACTATTAGCATCCGTATCCGCATTCTTAATATGATGAATAATCTTATTGTTATTATGATTCACAATCTTAGTAGTAAGTATTATTACGATTGTTCGTCTTAACGTCATGGTTATTACTATTATTAGTTTTACTCGTAGTATTACTACGATTTCATCATTCATAGTTTTTCTCGTATTAGTACTATTATCATTATTTTCATGTTAGCACTTTCGTATTAGTACTGTTAAAATTAGTTCAGATTAGCTCATCTTAGTACTTTTACTATTATGCATACTTGTATTCCTCCTCCTCCTCATCCTCCTCCCCCGCCTCCTCCTCCTCCTCCTCCTCCTCCGCCTGCTCCTCCACCTCCTCCTCCACCTCCTCCTCCTCCTCCATCCTCCTCCCTCCTCCTCCCACTCCTCCTTTTGATCCTCCACGGTCTCGTCCTCCTCATCCACCTCCTCCTCCTCCTCCTCCTCCTCCTCCTCATCATCATCGTCATCATCATCATCATCATCATCATCATCATCATCATCATCATCATCATCATCATCATCATCATCATCAGCATCATCATCATCATCATCGTCATCATCATCAGCATCAGCATTAGCATCATCAGCATCCTGATCATCATCACCATCCTCATCATCATCATCATCATCATCATCATCATCATCATCATCATCATCATCATCATCCTCATCCTCATCCTCATCCTCGTCATCATCATCATCATCATCATCATCATCATCATCATCATAATCATCATCAGCAGCATCACTTCCATCAGCATCATCATCAGCAGCAACAGCAGCATCATCATCAGCATCATCATCAGCATCATCAGCATCCTCATCAGCATCAGCATCATCATCACCATCATTAGCATCCTCATCATCAGCATCACCAGCATCAGCATCATCAGCATCATCAGCATCATCGTCAGCATCATCATCAGCATCATCAGCTCTCCAGCATCATCAGCGCCATCATCAGAATGCTAATAATCATCAGCATCATCAGCATCATCTACATCATCAGCATCCTCAGCACCATCAGCACCATCAGCATCGTTACCCTCAGCATCATCATCATCAGCATCATGATCATCATCAACAGCATCATCCTCAGCATCACCAGCATCATCATCAGCATTAGAATCAGCATCGTCAGCATAATCAGCATCAGCATCATTAGCATCCTGATCATCAGCATCATCAACATCATCAGCAGCATCATCAGCATCATCATCGTCACCATCACCATCATCATCAGCTTCATCATCGTCGTCGGCATCATCAGCATCAGCATCAGCATCAGCATCACCAGCATCAGCATCATCATCATCATCATCATCATCATCATCAGCATCCTCATCATCATCAGCATCATCAGCATCATCCTCAGTAACATCATCCTCATCATCATTATCAGCATCCTCATCATCATCAGCATCATCATCATCATCATCATCATCATCATCATCATCCGCATCAGCATCATCATCAGCATCATCAGCATCCTCATCATCATGAGCATCACCAACATCAGCATCCTCTTCATCATCATCATCAGCATCATCAGCATCCGCATCATCATCATCGTCATCATCATCAGCATCAGCATTAGCATCATCAGCATCCTGATCATCATCACCATCCTCATCATCATCATCATCATCATCATCCTCATCATCATCAGCATCATAAGCATGATCAGCATCATCAGCATCATCAGCATCAACATCATCATCAGCATCCTCATCATCATCATATTCATCAGCATCAGCATCATCATCATCAACAACATCAGCATCAGCACCATCATCAGCATCCTCATCATCAGCATCAGCATCATCCTCATCAGCATCATCATCATCAGCATCCTCATCATCATCATCATCAGCAGCATCAGCATCATCCTCATCATCACCAGCATGATCATCAGCATCATAAGAATCATCAGCATCATCAGCATCAGCAGCATCATCAGCATCTTCATCATTATCAGCATCATCATCAGCATCCTCATCATCAGCATCATCAGCATCATCATCAGCATCAGCATCATCATCATTATCATCAGCATCAGCATCATCAGTATCATCATCATCATCAGCATCAGCATCAGCATCATCATCAGCATCATCCGAATCCTCATACTCATCACCAGCAGCATCATCATTATCATCATGAGCATCACCATCATCAGCATCCGCATCAACACCATCATCAGCAGCAGCCTCAACATCATCACACCGTCAACATCATCATCAGCATCCTCATCCTCATCATCAGAATCAGCATCAGCATCCTCATCATCAGTATCAGCATCCTCATTATCATCAGCAGCATCATCATCAGCATAAGCATTAGCATCAAAATCATCATCAGCATTAACATCATCATTATCATCAGCATCGTCAGCATCATCAGCATCAGCATCCTCATCATGAGCATCAGCAGCATCATCAGCATCATCATCAACATCAGCATCAGCATCAGCATCAGCATCCACATCATCATCAGCATTATCATCATCATCATCATCATCATCATCATCAGCGTCAACCTCATCATCATCATCATCATCAGCATCAGCATCATCATCATCATCCTCGTCATAATCATCATCATCATCATCATCATCATCATCATCATCATCATCATCATCATCATCATCATCATCATCATCATCATCATCATCGGCATCGTCATATTAATCAGCATCATCATTATCAAAAGTTCCTCTTCCGCATCATCACCAGCATCATCCTCATCATCATCAGCATCATCATCATCCTCGTCATCATCATCATCATCATCATCATCAGCATCCTCATCATCATCATATTCATCAGCATCAGCATCATCTGAGCACCACCAGCATCATCATCATGCTCATCAGCATCACTCTCCTCATCCTCATCAGAATCATCCTCATCATCATCAGCATCATCATCATCATCAGAATCAGCATCATCAGCAGCAGCATTATGATCATCATCATCATCATCATCAGCATCATCATCATCATCCACATCCTCATTATCGTCATCATGTCATCATCAGCAGCAGCATCATCATCAGCATGGTCATCAGCATCATCAACAGCATCAGCATCTTCATCATCAGCATCAGCATCATCATCAGCATCAGCATCAGCATCAGCATCAGCATCACCATCGTCATCATCAGCATCATCAGCATCATCAGCATCATCAGCATGATCAGCATCATCAGCATCATCAGCATCATCAGCATCATCATCATGCTCCTCATCATCATCAGCATCCTCCTCATCATCATCATCAGCATCCTCAGAATCATCATCAGCAGCAGCAGCATCAGCATTATCAGCATCAACATCATCATCAGCATCCTCATCATCAGCATCATCCTAATCCGCATCATCATCACCATAATCATCAGCATGATCATCATCATTATGATCAGCATCAGCATGACCATCATCAGCACCATTCATCATCAGCATCAGCATCCTCATCATCATCATCAGCAGCATCATCATCAGCATCAGCATCATCATCATCATCAGCATCCTCGTCATCATCAGCATCATCATCAGCATCATTATCAGCATCATCAACATCCTCATCATCAGCATCATCCTCATCATCATCCTCATCCTCATCATCATCATCAACAATACCATCATCAGCAGCATCATGATCATCATCAGCAGTATCATCAGCATCATCATCGTCACCATCACCATCATCATCAGCTTCATCATCGTCGTCATCATCATCAGCAGCATCATCATCATCAGCATCATCAGCATTCTCATCATCATCATCATCATCATCATCATCATCATCATTGTCCCCGTCATCATCAGCATCATCCTGATCATCATCATCAGCATCATCAGCATCATCAGCAGCATCATCATCGTCATCAGCATCAGCATCATCATCGTCAACATCATAAATATCAGCATCATCATCAGCATCAGAGTGATAAACGTCCTCATCCTCATCATCAGCATCCTGATCATCAGCATCAGCATCATCAGCGTCATCATCAGCATCATCATCAGCATCTTCATCAGCATCAGCATCATCATCAGCACCAGCATCATCATCAGCATCAGCATCATCATCAGCATCATAAACATCATCATCATGATCATCGTCATAATCATGTTCATCATCAGCATCATCATCATCATCATCATCCTCATCATCATCATCAGCATCCTCATCATCATCATCGTCAGCATCATCATCATCAGCATCATCATCATCAGCATCAGCATCATCATCAGCATCCTCAGCATCATCCTTATCATCATCGTCATCATCAGCATCATCATCATCAGAATCAGCAGCATCATCAGCATCAGAATCA